ATAATGAAATAAACTTTTCATAGCTAAATAAAATAAACTATTAATAAACTAAAATTTTTCATCACAGGCGTTAGTCCTCAGGAGATAAAAAAGTTATTCCACAGCGATCACATGGATATCATTGATATTTTCACGGCGCAGCCGTAAAAATCAATGTTATCCATTGATCCCCGTAGAATAACTAATACTTATTTATTCAGCAGCTTTACCAGACATGAGTAAGTTCCTAACTATAAATTTTTAATAATAATGATAAAATAGATCTATAACTTTTTTAAATTGATAATTAGCTATCTACACTGCTGGAGATTGTTTTTACGACGATTATTATGATGAGGACGAATTAGTGGGCGAATTTTGTGATAATTTGGTAACTCAGACAAAGAGAAATAGACCCGAGTTTGTCAATTACGCTAAGACAGCAAAAAGAATCGATGTTAATTGAAGGAAAATATGTGGAAAACGTTAGCTGGCAGATCATAAATTAAAAAAATTAAAAAGAAAATTTACAGTTCGTGAATTTGAATGAAACCATTGTTCATACCCGTTCATACCCTTAACTAGTACCTGGTCTAATTAAAAAAAAAAACTTTTAGATAAATTATCAAATCTTAGAATGACTCAGTTTTATAAAAAAAGTTTATGTTATGCAAGTATTATTACCAATCATGATAAAGTGGTCTGAACTGAATTCTATTATTCTCGGGATCATAGTTTTAAAATTGCCCGTTCACTTTCATTTTTCTAATTCGCATTAAATTTCATAGGTCAAATAATAATCCCGATTCTTCACTGATTTTACTATAATAATTGTAACTGATAAAACACGGATCTTATTGCATGTCTGAGTATAATTGGACACTCAAATACTTAAATCAGATTTCTATAATAATATGATATCTTTAAATTCGAAATAATTATATTCAGTAAACTAATAAATTATTTTATTTACAGTATACCACAATGAAAATTGCAACGCAATAAAACTACATTTATGAATACACACAGACATGATATGAAACTAAAGTACGAAAAAAATTTTTATTTTCATTTATTCTTTCTCATTATCTTCTGAATTGTATGATCGAGAGATTTTCATTCCGGAGCACCTTCTGGTAGTTTTGAATTATAGTCTATTTTCGTCATGTAACATCGACGTGTAAACCATCATATTATTAATAGCTTCTCCGCAGGGATGATATAAAGTAAGTTTTATGTGTGATAAAAGTAAATTCTGTGAATTTTGTGATTTGGCCAGAATTAAGCAAGGTTGGCCAACATTACGACTCGTAAATTCTGGCCAAATTTAGTGTTTACCAGAATTACAATGATTGCAAATCCTAAATTAAGCCAAAAACTTGAACCATATTTTGTGATTTTCTGTGAAATTCTGTGATCACAATAAATCATTGTTCCTGCTTTTCTGGTTTATCAGTTATATAATTTAATTGACGAAACTATTAGTGTATACAGTCAAAGAGAAAAGAGATTCTTTTCATTATCTTCTAAATAAAAATATAGGAAGATTTCTAAGAAAATTAGGTTCTGAGAAATTTTTGACTAAAATTTAGAATTTAATGCATTTTAATCTAATAACATCAAAAACTAAAATGCAATAAAAATCTCAATTTTATTAAAAAATTCTTGAAATCTGATTTTCTTAGCAATCAACCTATATAATTAGATTAAATATATTAACATTTTGATTTCTATACAACTTGACTTATTGTAAATATATAATACATATTTATCTATTTCTTTTTTTTTTAGCCTAATACTATTTTCAACTTCTTTATTGCAAAACTCTTCTTTTTTATTCATTATAAGTTATAATCTACTTTGAATCATCCAAAAATAAAGAGACCAGTCTAAACTGATTAAGAAATGAATTATTATTGAAAGAGCTCCTTTGTTTGTAATCCTTTTCTATTCTAAACAAATATTAGTAAAACAAATTTATTCAATTTTTTTGTATTACTCTTTTGGTATGACATAACAAATATTTCCTTATTGATTGCCTTTAGTAATCCTTTTTCTTTTCTTTTTAGATTTTGATTATTCATCTAACATTCTCAATGATGCTTGCAAAATCTATCTCAATCTTTTATCTTTATATTTTATATTAAAATCTTCCCTTTATGATTTATCGATTGATTTTATTGTTATTTTTACAACTTTTTATGAAATTTCAGACATCTTTTTTGTGTGATCAAACTTTATTACCATCTAATTCACTTAGAATTGTTATAATCCACACTTATTTTTTTAATAAAAAATATTATTTTAAGAATTTAATAGCAAACTGATAGCTACTCAATACTTTCATAAAATTCTTTATTTTGATTTTTGATCTTGATTTAAATCTTCAAGAAGTTATCAAAACCTTCATTTATAACTAGTTTTTAGTTATGGTAAAAATGATTTGTATCTTTAATAACTTAATAAGACTGTTACTATTGATGTATTTTTTTTTATTTAAGATTTAAACCTTTTTTTAAGTTCTATAAGAATTTTTTGATATATATTAAATATATATGTTAAAAAATTTATTTTAATTTTTAAAGTAAATAAATTTATTAGAAATAAAAAAAAAAATAATACTTATATTTAATTTAAAGCTTTATTCATTGATATATTGAAAAATTGTAATTTAAATTTTATCTACTAGATTTAATGTTATATTAATTATTTTTTTATAATAAGTTATCTAAATAATTATGAAATAAAAAAGTAAATTAGATAATTATACTGCTCAAAATGCTAAAATTTAGTTAAACTGATTTTTGAAAAAAATAAGTTATATGATGGAACTTATAATGAAATTATTAAAATTTAATTAAATTTAAAACTGAAATTTAGTAAAATAAATTAATATAATAAAAAACAGTATTAACAAATAATATTAGCATTAATATTAAAAAAGATAACCAAATATTTTATATTTACAAAATTATTTCATTTTTAGTGACCTATTTATTTTTATTTATTTTTATAATTATACTATTTGAAAACATCTTTTAAGATAAATTTTTTATGAAAATAATAACAGATAATAATTTTTAATCGATTAACTATATATATTATAAACTAAAAAATAAACTTATTATTAAGACCAAAATACAAATATAATAAATTAGTTAAAACTTCTAATTGATTTTAATTAATTCTATTAATTAATTTTAAAAAATATTTTTTTAATTCAAATTACTTATTAAAATAAGTTAGAATTTTTAAAATTTAAATATTTTTAAATATCTGGTTTAGGATTTAAGTTTTCTTAAATTAAGTAAATTTCTAATTAATTTATTTTTATGTATTGTTATTTTCATTTAAAACTAGCTAGAGATAATAAATAATTATTAGTATTTTAATAACATTATGATTATATATATAATAGTTAAATATAATATACAAAACTTCTAAAGAAGATTTGATAATATTTTTTTTAAGATGAAATCACTAATTTTTTTTATTAAATTAATGTTAATTTTTAATTAGTTTTAACTATATAGTGAAATTATTTATAGTAATAGAGTAATATATATTGCTATATATAATTTGTTATATAATTTAAATGTGAAAAATTACTGATTCTTAGTTTTTTATCCAGATCAAGTGAAGTTAATTTACATAAAATAAATTATTATTTAATATTAATTATTAATAAATTAGAATTATTTTAAAATAGATTAATAATAGATAAAAATATATGAGCATTTAAAGAAAAAGATATTTATGTAGTTTTAATTCTTATTTTATATGATATATTAACTGCTAAAAAATATGTAATTATATTTTAATCTTAATATTATATTATAAATATGAAAAGAAAGCAAATTATAAAATTATTAATATAATTTTATTAGAATAAATAATTTTAATAATTTGTTTTTATGCGAGATTTAATTAAATATTATTAAAATACTTTAAAATAGAGATATTACAATTCAGATATTTCATAAAATTATTTATAAAATAAAGCAGTATAGTCAACTCTTATTATAACAAATTTTATATTTTAGATCTCAACTTCACTATAAGGCTATAGTGAAGATTTTAAGAGATTTGATTGGCCAATTCGCTATATCAAGAGTTGACTGTATAAGATAATTTAAAATTATTATATTTGCTATATTTTAATCTATAAAATTTATTATAATTAATTTAATATATTACTTATTTAATTTAATAGCTGATTAATAATAAATTTTTTACTATATGGAACTTTTGCAATAGAAAGGGAGGAAACTCCAAAAAAATTAAAATTTTAGTTTATAAGCCAAAAATGTTCCAAATACTATAATTTGTTTAGATTTATTATTAATTCATTTTTTATTTTTTTTGAGTTTCCTCCCTTTCTATTGTAAAGGTCTCATATATCGATATGTCACTATTTTACTTTATAATTATCTTCTTATGTAATAAAAAGATTTTACATATTTTAAAAGAATTTGTATAATTTTAATAAATCTGATTATAAAATCTGATCTATTATATAAAACTTATTAAAAATTAATTAAGATAATAAAATTGATTAAAGATAATCACATTTGTAACAAATTATACTAAAATCTCTTTATTTAATATTACTTAATAGATTATAATCTATTATATATATCTTATGTCTTTTATTTAAATATATAAATAGAATATTAAATAAATCATTAAGTATTATAAGAAATTTTTGATTAAATTATTTTATAAATTTACTAATTTATGATTTTTAGTTTCTTTATGAATAGTAATAAAAAAATTATTTGTGAATTAGTATAATTGATATTAATATATATTTAAATTAATAAATTCTAATATTATTATAATAAAAAGATTTAAATTATTATATAATTAGTCTTCTATTAATTTTTTTTTAAATATAGATGAATTTTTAATAAAATTTACTAATTTTAATAAATATATGAAATATTAAGAAATCAAATATTTCTGATAATAAAATACTTTTTAATAAATTCTTAAAATATTATATAATAATATAAAAAAAAATTGCTATAAAATTAAATTTTAAAATAATTTTTACAAGCTTAATGTACTTTAATTTAATAATATTAAAAATTAAAATATAATAAATCTCAATTTTATTAAAATATTTCTAGAATCTGATTTTTCTAGTAATTAATCTATATAATTCTTTTAAGTAAAATGTTTGATTTAATGTTAAATACTATATAGTAATTTATAGCATAGAATTTTAAAAGCTATTTGATAAGAATTTAAAAAATAGTATAATGATAATAATTCAAGTTAAAATAAATTAATTCAAAAAGTATTATATTTGTTTTATAATCTTTAATTTATTAAAATTTTTATGATATATAAAAATTCATATATTTATTACAAATAATAATATTATTGTTATTCAGGCTAAATTTAATACTATTTTACTTATATAATTAATTAGCTATCTAGACTAGCTAAACATTTTTTAGT